AAGAATATCAACATTTTATTAAAGAATATGAGCGTTTAGGTCACATGACCAATGTTTCTAAGCCTCTATTCGGTTGTTATCTTCCACATCATGCTGTAATTAGAGAAAATAGTGAGACTACGAAGCTTCGTGTAGTTTTTGATGCTTCTGCAAAAACGTCTACCGGAATATCACTTAACGACATACAACATATCGGCCCTGTAGTACAGGATGATTTATTTTCAATTTTGTTAAGATATCGGCAACATAAATACGTTGTCACAGCAGATGTGGAAAAAATGTATCGCCAAATCATGGTAGATCCAAATCAGCGAAATTTGCAAATTATTTTATGGCGTGACGAACCATCACAGCAAATTAAAATATATCAATTAAATACAGTGACGTATGGAATGGCATCGGCGCCATTTCTGAGTACACGTTGTCTATTGCAACTTTCAAAAGAATGCAAAGATAATAAAATAGCACAATTAATAAAGACAGACTTTTATGTTGATGACTTTCTTTCTGGCGCTGAAACTGAAAGTGAATTACAAAATATAATTAAATCAGTCACTACAGTTCTCAGTACAGCCTGCTTTCCGCTAAGAAAATGGCGAACTAATGCACATATTCACCTTCAAGGTGAATCAAATACATCGTTGCCAAAAAATTTAGATTTGACTTCGCAATCCAGCGTTTTAGGTCTGAAATGGGATCCAACTAAGGACGTTCTTCGATTTCCAGTTAACATACAGTTAGATCAAAATATTACCAAAAGAACGATTTTGTCCAATTCAGCCAAGTTATTCGACCCACTAGGTTTGCTTAGTCTTTGTACCATCATACCTAAAATAATGCTACAAAAATTATGGTTGACAAAACTTGATTGGGATGATTCGGTGGATAATGTATTAAAGGCAAAATGGCAAGGTTTCATAAATAATTTAAACACCGTATCGTTCATTGAAATACCTAGATGCGTCCTCATTAATAAACCTGTAGTGATAGACTTACATACATTCTCGGATGCTTCACAAGTAGCATATGCTTCTGCAGTCTATCTCAGATCAGTTGATGGTTCAGGTAATGTTCTGGTCAGATTACTTTGTGCGAAAACTAAAGTTGCTCCAGTTAAACCAACGACAATACCTCGATTGGAACTGTGTGGTGCCTTGCTTTCGGCACGATTAAGTGTTAAAGTATTAAAGGCTATTAGTTGCAAAATTGATTCAGTCTATCATTGGACTGACTCTACAATAGTTTTGGGCTGGCTATCCTCTCAACCATGCGATTTGAAACCATTCGTTTCAAACCGCGTTGGTGAAATAAGAGAACTTACTAGTGCAGATGTTTGGAGGCACGTCCCTGGAGATAAAAACCCAGCAGATCTAGCGTCACGCGGTTTAAATCCTAAATTAATTAATTCTGCCACGCTTTGGTGGCAAGGACCGTTGTTTTTAACCGAAAACTCATGTAATTGGCCCAAAATTATAAATATTAAAAATATTGGTAATTTACCTGAAATGAAAGCTTATACTAAAACACTAGAACCTACAACTACACTACACGCTTCAACTACAGTACAATCTACAACTACACTACAATCTACGTGTTCATCAAATACTACTTTAGCTGTTAGCCAGTCAATGATAGTAAATGTGGAAAGATTTTCAAGGTTCACAACATTACAAAGATCTTTAGCTTACGTTCTACGTTTTATTCATAACCTCAAACATAAACATCACAAATTCACTGGCCCCTTAACAACCAAGGAATTAGAGTCATCTTTAGAAATATTAATAAAACAACATCAGAACGAATGCTTCGCAGATGAAATTAAGGTTTTAAAGTCTAAGGGAAACTTACCAAATAAGTCCCGCTTATTGGCATTAAGTCCATTTATCGATGCACGTGAAATAGTTCGCGTTAGCGGCCGTACTAAAAACTCCAATGAAGCTTACGAAAGAAAATACCCAATTTTATTAGAAACGAAAAATACCTTTTGTAAATTACTATTTGTTCACTATCATAAAAAACTTTTACATTGTGGACCTCAACTCTTACTGACCGATATAAGAAGCAAATTTTGGCCTTTAAGAGGTAGAGTATTAGCAAGATCCACTGTCAACAACTGCCAACTGTGTAAAAGAATAAAGGCAAAGTGTTTTATTCCTATAATGGGTAATTTGCCAGCAACTAGAGTTACTCCAAATCTTCCTTTTCACGTAAATGGTGTGGACTTTGCCGGGCCTTTTTTTATTACTGACCGTAAAGGTCGCGGTTGCAAAATAACAAAATGTTATTTGAGTTTATTTATTTGTTTCGCTACAAAAGCCTTGCATCTCGAAGTAGCAAGCGATCTCACTACCGATATTTTTATACTATGTTTAAGACGTTTTATATCCCGAAGAGGAAAGCCTCTTAAATTATATTGTGACAATGGTAAAAATTTTGTCGGTGCAAATAATGAAATTACTAATTTTTTCAAATTTAACAGTGAAAGCATATCTGGTTTTGCAGCCGATGAAGGCATACAATTTAAATTTTCCTCTCCGTATTCCCCGCATTTTGGCGGACTTTGGGAGGCAGGTGTCAAGTCTGCTAAGTACCACGCAACTAGAATATTAGGCGACAAACATCTTACGTTTGAGGAGTTGTCTACTTTATTTGCGCAAATTGAGGCAATCCTTAATTCCAGGCCATTAACCCCTCTTTCCTCAGACCCCAATGACCTCAATCCTTTAACACCAGCGCACTTCTTGATCGGCAGGCCGCTTACGTCACTACCATCGGAAAATTTACTAGACATTAATTTAAATAGACTCGATAGGTACCGATGTCTTGAAAAGCTGCGTCAACACTTCTGGGAACGCTGGCGAAAGGAATATTTAAACGAATTGCAACAACGGCACAAATGGCAGGTTAACCAACAAGCATTTAAGGAAGGGGATTTGGCAATTATAAAAGAAGCTAATTTACCACCGTTGAAATGGCGTATGGCGCGAATACATAAATTATATCCTGGTTCTGATGGAATTGTACGAGTTGCAGATGTATACACGAAGAATGGCATTGTGCGTCGGGCTGTCCACAACCTATGTCCCTTGACAAATTCATCTACAACAGGAGCACCTCAAAATCCTGAAGACTTTGAGGGGGGGGGGGGAGGATGTTAAATCTTGAAAGCGTCCAAGAGTGACGTCACGCATGGGAACGAACTGGCCGGTCCCGGCCATTACGCTTCGAGCTCCGCACACAGCAACAAGCTTTAAATTTAATTATTTGTAATTACTAATTAAATAGCATATTAAATGTACTGCATTTCATTGCGGAGTTTTCATTGCAATATCCTCAAGAAATTGAAGACCAGCGTGATCATATCTTTTTAAATTTTAATTAAATTATTAGTTTTTGTTCTATTTTTGTTGTTTCGTTGTTGTTAGGTTAGGTTCTTTTGTTTTTAATTGTCGCTTTACGACACCATTTGAGGTTGTTACCTCAGTGAAGTGCCATCCATCCGCTTCAGCTCCACATATTGCAGTCATTGTGTCAGATAGGTGTGGAACTATTTCACTGAATTACTGTCAGGGCCATAATATCTCAGTTTAGGTAGCAGCAGGGATGTATTGATCGAGTCGAAGGCTCGAGAAAAATCCAGCAGTGTAAGAATCGTTAGCGTCCCCCGGGTTGGGGAATGATCGATGGGAAATGTCGTCCTACGAGATGATTAGTAGGGTAGTAGGTCGGGGTACGGAACATTGATGTTTTAATATTAATTGTTCGATTAAATACCGTTTGGTGATTCTGAGTATAAGGTACGCAACCCTCGTCGACACACTCCCAATCTTTACAACGTTGTTAACGAGAGACTTGTGGACGATAAATCCTCCTTGGGACAGATGGTCGCCCTCCCGGTGATAGAACAAATTGCCGGGTTCGGATTACCGTGACCTCCCCCTCTCTTCGTACTTCGGATAATCCAATGAAATTCCAGCGCAACTTGTCTATCTCTTCTTCCAGCTCCAGGATCTTCTCGTCAGTCCTCAGGGTGCGTGCGTTATAAGTTGCGAGGTCGAGTCGTCGTAGGTGGCAACCGAACCTCCACCGGAGATTCTTAGCACCCCGTGCCCCGCCGTTACCATGGTCGCCACCGTAGCCAGGAATAGCGGGGCCGCCGGGGCTGGGGGCCGTCTCTTCGTTACTTTCATGGGGGGTATATTGCCATACTTGCCACGCTTGGCGAGCGGGTTGGCAACCGCAGTTTTTTTATTGTTGTTCTGCTGTTATCAGAAAGATGCTGCTGCCCATCCTCTGCCTCAGTTTCCCTCTGTCGCCTTTTACGACATCCACGGGAAGATATGGGGTAGTGAGTATTCTTAACCGCCACTACACGGAGGTTAATACAAACAGTAGATAATACAAACAGCATTATACGAAGTAACAAATAAATAATAATGATTGAATACTTACGTTGAAAGTACCCTGGAGTGCTGGTGTACTCCACAAGCAGCGTGTCGTGTCCACTCGCTAGCAGGACCGCCGTCCGACTGAGGTATCTGCGCATCCCCTCGCCAGATATTGCTACAGTCAATATAAATTTGACCTTATCTTTCAGAGTATAGATGAAAGGCTCAAAGAGCGCAACGACCTTTTATGTGAACAAATTCAATTGCTTCGTGCACAGAATTCTTACCTAGGCCATACAAAGAAACTCAAAAGGATGAAAAGGTAGTCATACAAATTTTAGTTGAAGTATGTATTTACTAATCCTTGTCTTTTTTGTCGGTCAATCGTCAACAACTTCGTTTGATCAACACACAGAGGATTGCTCTCTTCACTTGTTGCATCTAAGTGTCGCCGCACACGGGCCACCGGCCACAGCCACAAATGCCGCCACGAGAAGCTAGAAGCGGCCGCAAAGGTAGCTGAAGCTCGCTACAGCCACTTGTGGCCGGTGGTCGCCACTTGCGGTCGTTGGCTGCTACTTTTTTTAACCCACTCATGCAGTATCATATATAATGGACTCGGACGAAGAAGGTTTAATTGCGCTACTTTTGATAAAAAGACGTCGTCGTAGAAGACGAAACCGTAGTTATTGGATACATCCAATTTTAACGAATGTACACAAATGCAACGAACATTTCGATAATCTTCTAAAACCATCCAAAAAAGTTTTTCAAACATTTTCGTTTAAGTATAGGTACGTTTTGGGAACTACATGCTCTATTATATGCTGGATTAAAGCACCACGACACCAACATGCGGAAAAGCATCGCACCTGCGGAAAGACTAGCTATCACATTAAGGTAAGTGGAAATAATCACTAGCATAAAACTCCACAGAACACTATAATAAAATAATCTATACTTTATTTATAATCACTACTTATAATGTTATTATAACTGCGTATTAAAATCTAGGCCTGTTTGTCTGTCTGTCTGTTACACACCTATACCGCGCGCTGATCCGATTTTAATAAAGGATTTCTGATAGTTCACCCATGGGGCACAATTGCATTGTTTATTCTACTAGAGAATAGCTAGTTAACAAATAAAACACTTCTTTTTCGTCTTTGTATTTATTTATTGTGTGTTTATTATAATTTGTTATCACTCGTCATCATCACGGAACATGTCTTCGAAAACAGAACTGTTGTCCATAGACTGGTCAGAATAATATGAATGAGTTGGAGAAGGCTGAATTATAGGTGAAGACGGGATAGATGTAGAAGCGTTTTGTGTAGAGTATGAAATGTCAAGCACAGACTTGTCGGAATGAAGTGGAGAAGGCTGGGCAGATGTGGAAGCTTTTTGTGTAGAGTGTATGTTGGCATTTCCTGAAGAATAACCACTGTGTGTACTTTCTAATTAACTGTAATATTTCTGATTGAAAATCAAGTATACAATTTTCGTCATTTTTTTTTACATGTGGAAGCAGCGACATCAGAAATTGCTTATCGGGGTCATTTTGGTCGCTGATTTGATCATGTTTACGTTTTAAATTTTCCGAAAGTGTTCTGAGAATTTCATTTTCTGATTTTTCGGCCCTTTTTATATTAATGTTTCTGTTTATTTTCGGGCGAGGTGTTTCCGCATCATTAGTTGCACACTCGGAAGTAACATCGGTAGGCGGTCTCACTTCTTTTAAGTCATTCAAGAAAGATAGATGATTGAAATAAATGTACTGTTTACTGCTTGTTGCTGCCGAACCACTCGCAACGTTCTTGTTTTTTGCATTTTCTCTATTAAAACTGTCACGCAGACTCTTCCACTTCCTCTGTAATTTAGTCACTGTAACAACAAAAAAATATAATATACTTCATTGTTTCAGGTATCTAGGAACTGGATGCTCGTTTGAGGATTTTGAACTCTCTTATCACCGTGGGGCCTCTACAGCAAGGAAAATAGTACAAGAAACATGTCAACTAATTTGGAACTATTTAAAAGCCGTTTGTATTCCAGAACCGACCCAATACATATGGAATGAAATTGCCAGCGGATTTCTTCAAAATACTAATTTTTCTAATTGTTTAGGCGCCATAGATGGGAAACATATAAGAATTATTCATCCATTCGATACCGGCTCCTTGTACTTTAACTATAAAAAAATTTTTTCATTAGTACTTCTAGCAACATGCGACTCGAATTTACTTTTTACGTTCGTGGATGTTGGGGCATACGGTAAAGCATCCGATTCTACAATATTTAGAGAAAGTGAACTGTGTAATAAAATACACAGAAATACATTAAATATCCCCTCACTACGATAGGTCGGTAATCGACAACCATTGAACTATACATTTGTTGGTGATGAAGCATTTGGCCTCAGTGAAAATATGATGAGGCCATATGCTGGAAAATATTTGGACTTAGACAAAAAAGTTTTCAATTATAGGTTAAGCCGTGCCAGACGTTGCATTGAGTGTACCTTCGGCGTCATCATCATCATCATTACAGCCCTTCACAAGTCCACTGCTGAACATAGGCCTCCCCCAAAGAATGCCACAAAGCACGGTCCCGAGCCACCTGCATCCATCGACTTCCTGCAAATCTTACCAGGTCGTCACTCCATCTAGTGGGGGGACGCCCTACACTTCGCCTGCCGGTACGAGGCTGCCACTCGAGAACCTTTCTTCCCCATCGGTTGTCGGTTCTTCGAGCTATATGGCCGGCCCATTGCCACTTCAGCTTACTAATCCGTTGGGCTATGTCGGTCACTCTGGTTCTACTGCGGATATCCTCATTTCTGAGTTTATCACGCAGAGAAACTCCGAGCATAGCCCTCTCCATAGCTCGCTGAGCGACCTTGAGCTTCCTCATCCGGCCAGCAGTGAAGGACCACGTCTCAGTTCCGTATGTCATCACTGGCAACACGCACTGGGTGTACAGTCTCGTTTTCAAGTTTTGAGGTATACCTGACGAGAAGATGTGCCGTAATTTCCCGAACGCTGCCCAACCGAGTTGAATCCGTCGATTGACCTCTCGGTCGAAGTTGGACTTACCTAGTCGGACTATTTGTCCCAGGTAAACATACTCATCAACAACTTCGAGCTTAGTGTTCCCAACAACTACCGGCATAGGTGTGACATGGACATTAAACATGATCTTTGTTTTGTCCATGTTCATCTTAAGACCTATCCGTTGGGAAACACTATTGAGGTCATTGAGCATAGTGCTTAGGTCCTCCAGCAATTCTGCCATAAGGACTATATCGTCGGCAAATCGAAGGTGAGTGATGTACTCGCCATTGATGTTGATACCGTATCCTTTCCAGTCCAGAAGCTTGAAAACATCTTCCAATGCAGCGGTGAAGAGTTTCGGGGATATGACGTCACCCTGTCTTACACCTCTCTGCAATTGGATAGGTTTCGTCTTCTGGTTCTGTACTCGGATAGCCATCGTAGCCCTACTGTACAAGCACTTCAACACTTCGATATACCGACAGTCAACTTGGCATCGCTGAAGGGACTGCAGCACCGCCCAAATTTCGACGGAATCAAAGGCTTTCTCATAGTTCACATACGCCAGACATAGTGGCAAATTGTACTCCTCGGACTTCTGTACAATTTGCCGAAGGGTATGTATGTGGTCTATGGTGCTAAAGCCTTTTCGGAAACCGGCTTGTTCGGGAGGCTGGAAGTCGTCAAGTCTGCGCGCGAGACGATTCGTAATGACTCTCGAAAACAGCACGTAGACGCGGCTCAGAAGGGAAATCGGTCTGTAGTTCTTCAAGAGAGCGTTGTCGCCTTTCTTGAAGAACAAGACCACCGCACTTCTGCTCCACGCCTCCGGTGTAATGCCACCATGGAGGACGGAATTAAAGAGCTTCTGAAGGACTTCAAGTACCGGTTTTCCACCCGCTTTCAGAAGCTCCGCTGTAATTCCATCCTGGCCTGGGGCCTTGCCGTTTTTAAGGTGCTGGAGAGCCATTCTAATCTCGCTCAGACTGACGTCCGGGATATCATCGGAATAATGTCGGATAAGACTCGCTCTTGGATCGTTACTCACACTTGCGTGTGGCTCCAACGATGACGTGTACAGCTGCCCATAGAACCTCTCAATCTCACTCAAAATCTCAGGTGCCCCGGAAACGATGCTGCCACATTCGGTCTTCAGCTTTGACAGTTGGCTCTTTCTGGCAGACAGATCTCTGGCAAAGACTTTGGAGCCTTGGTTCCGCTCGATTGCTTCTTCAATACGAGCTGTATTGAAGTTGCGTAAGTCCCGCCGCATGCATTTGGAGATCTGTCTGTTCAGTTGCCTGTATGCTGTCAAATCTGTTGAAGAATGTAGCTTCATCTCCCGTCTAACAGCCATGAGATTAAGAGTGTGATCGGAGAGTTTTTGTGTTCTTCTGCGGCGGGTCTTGCAGAACTTAGCTCCGACCGCATGGACAGTTTCCACGAGCTTGTCATTCAAATCGTCCACTTCATTGCAGTCTTCTAGGCACTGAAAACGGTTTTGCAACTCGAGCTGAAAGGTTTCGGGACTTTGGATTAGAGCACGAGGGGGACGGAGCGTTGACTTCATTAGACGAGACCTCTCCAACTTAACGTTTAGGTTCAGTGTGCCTCTAACCATTCGGTGATCGCTGCCGGTTTTCACCCTCGCGATCACTGAGACATCACTGAACAGTTGTCGTCTGGTCGTCATAATGAAGTCAATCTCATTTTTTGTCGAACCGTCGGGGCTCGACCAGGTCCACTTCCTGTGGGGCCGCTTCTGGAAGAAAGAGTTCATCATAAAGAGTCCCTCTTTCTCCATGAAGTCGGCCAACTGCTGGCCCCTTGGGTTCCGTTGCCCTATTCCAAATTTCCCCACTTTCAGCTCACCGTTCTCTCTTGTGCCTAGTTTTGCATTGAAGTCTCCCATTAACACCCTATATTGGGTTTTGGAGGAATGCATGGCTCTAGAGATATCCTCATACATTTCCTCCACCTCCTGATCGGGGTGTGCCGAGGTTGGTGCGTAAACCTGTATGACCTTCAGCGAATACCGTTTGGTGATTCTGAGTATAAGGTACGCAACCCTCGTCGACACACTCTCAATCTTTACAACGTTGTTAACGAGAGACTTGTGGACGATAAATCCGACACCTCCTTGGGACAGATGGTCGCCCTCCCGGTGATAGAGCAAGTTGCCGGATTCGAGGATTACCGTGTCCTCCCCCTCTCTTCGGACTTCGGATAATCCTATAATATGCCAGCGTAACTTGTCTATCTCTTCTTCCAGCTCCACAATCTTCTCGTCAGTCCTCAGGGTGCGTGCGTTGTATGTTGCCAGGTCGAGTCGTTGTACGTGGCAACCGAACCTCCACCGGAGATTCTTAGCACCCCCTGCCCCGCCGTTACCATGGTCGCCACCGTAGCCAGGAATAGCGGGGCCGCCGGGGACTGGGGGCCGTCTCTTCGTAACTTTCATTATGGGGGGGTATATTGCCATAGTTGCCACGCTTGGCGAGCGGGTTGGCAACCGCAGTTTTTTATTGTATTTTGTCGTTACCAGGAAGATGCTGCTGCCCATCTCCTGCCTGTTTCCCTTTGTCGCCTTTTACGACACCCACGGGAAGATATGGGGTAGTGGATATTCTTAACCGCCACTACACGGCACTCTTAACCGCCACTACACGGCGTACTAGCAAACAAATGGACATTACATCGCCTATTAAACACTTCTGTTCATTTCTTAGAAGACATTGTGAAAGCTTGTTGCATTTTGCACAACTTTATTCGCAAAAGGGATGGTTTCAATTTTCGTCACACTTTGAAAATAGTGGGACTCGAAAATATACAAAATACAGGCTGGCCAGTAACACGAGCGTCTACTGCAAGAGATATGTTAAAAGATTATTTTATGAATGAAGGAGCAATACCGTGGCAAGAAAATAGAATATAAATATATGTTCGCGCCACTCGGGCGCGACAATTGATTCCCTGATTCGCTTTCTCTCTCTCACTCATTGATTCGGCGCGAGCGCTGTATCGCGTCAGTCGCAACCCCGGAAGCGAGTCACGCGCCGCCCTTGTTCGAAAAAAGGTGTAAGAAAGCGCGTCCGCGACCTTCAGCTCATCGGCTCGCATTAATTATGTATATATTGCCGGCCGGTATCTAATATATCTAAGTGATAATCATTACGAACAATTAAACATTAAAGTGAAAGTGACAGTGTATGATATAAGACTTTAGTTGCACGTGTATACATTCAACGGCATAACCAGCTCAGGAGCGTGCCAGCCACCCAGCACCATTCATTTATCATCCGCCCATCTGCATTCCAAGTAAGTGCACACCCTTACATTTCCTCTCCTATTTCGTTCAACCCGCACTTCAGCTCACCGTCGATGTGAGGCTTTCCCTCACAATATATGATTTTATATTATTTTATTAAACTTATCTTCAATGTTCTTTTCTTTGGCGGTTTTATTCGAAAAATTTCCTACAAACAGATTTCTTCCCAGGCCTTCACTTTTTCTCCTCTATTACTATAACTATCACTTTTTGAATCCCAAATCGCAGGACGGGATTGTATCTCTGATATAAATAATTCTACATCCATTTTTATCTATCTATATGAACCACAGAGTACGTGCGTGCGTTACCGTCGACTCTAACAGGTTTACTGAGGTAAGGGAGAGAGGGGCGCGGAATCGCGCGAGTGGCGTATGGCGCCGTTTTGTGTCGGCCTTTAGTGGCCGGTGCGGGCCACAAGAAGCAAGCTGCGACGATTTGTAGCGTGTGGCCGCCACCGGCGCCAACCGTGTGCGGCGAGTCCATATAAAATGTACGAAAATTACAGGAAATATGCCAGTGGCGGCGTTTTGTGGTTGTGGCCGGTGGCCCGTATGCGGCGACACTAAGTTGTCCATTGGTTGTTCCATTGGAATTCTGCAATATACAACTTAAATTAATAATGTTTATCAAAAGTAAACAAACATTCCAATAATAATTATCTGTGTGATGATATAATCTACATGTATTTACAAAACATATCTTAAGACGGCAATCATATAGATTCATTTTATCAATTGAAGAAAATTTGTTATACAAGTAAAATGCATTGCTAAAGCTCATTTGAAGCATGTGGACAAACAATTTTTTGTACCACCGTAACGTTTTTCTTTGACACGGATAATATGCCAGCATCTGATCTTGTAGATCTACGCCAGTCATAAAATTGTTTTAACCTCTAAACAGTGTGACTAATGTTTCCGCCATTTTGCGTATCTGTGATGCCGACCGTCGGCAAGCGCACAGACAGGGATATTATAAGCATATGTTTTTTTTAAAGTTGGATTTCCTCGATTTTTTTAAAGGAATGCTGTACGCTTACAATTAAAATATTGGTTTTAATTACCTATTTTGTATATATCTTTACATATTTAGCATATTGGTAGTTATTTGCCATAGAAACATTACTACTTAATATGGGGTACAGAAAATTTTATTGTATTTCTTGATAATTTGTATAAAATAAAACAATAATTAAACTGAAACTAATTTTAATTAACACATTACATATCTAAGTTTACAATACAAACCAAAATTAACAAGGTCCTATACATTTTTTTCACAAAACACATGTTTACAAAGTTGACACAAAAAATACTTCCACTTAAAGTAAACAAAAAAGGGTCTCACATTTCTTGTTATCTAAAATGACCCTGAGCGAATGGGACAAAGACCTTTTGTTTGCAGCAACTTAAGCTTATAAGCTACAAATATAAATAAAAGAATCATGTTACATTCAATATAAATTTGAGTATGAGTGGAACAAAGATGGTATGTAATTTGACACCAAAATTAGTACCTCTAAAAACATGTCTATTTTGGATAATATCTACTTACAAATGGAAAAGAAATTATTGTTTCAAGATATACATTAAATTTAGTAATCAATTAAACAAAAAAAACAAGTTGTTTCTAAGAAATATTTCAAACATCAAGCTCATGAAAGTAGTAAATATCTAAACATTTTAGCCTCATACATGCTAGCAAAGTGTGGATACGACTTGTCTTCAACAAGATAATGACTAGGTGATTTTTGTAACCCTCATTATTTTGAAACATTATAGTAAACATAACGGGTCTAATAATGACAATCACTTGGGATACTACTTAATATGACATAATTTTTAAATCATGCTTTGTTCACGAATCACAGCAAGAGGTAAAATGAACCGGCGGCTTGTAGGTTGAAGGTGAAGGTTTAGGCAGCATGTTGATACCCAAGCATGGTTGGTCATAATTTACCATTGTTCGATATGTACAAATATGTACAATATACACATAATATATGTATATATATGTACATGGCTACCGATCATGGACATATATATACATATGTTACAAAATGCCAAGGAAACGTACTGAAAATTAGGTTGAGCAACCCCCCCCCCTTCATTGCGTCCCTAATTTTCGTACGATCCCTTATCAGTATAATGACGTTTGCAATTTGAATGAATGACACGGACCTAGGTTCCAACAATTTTATGATGAGCCAAAATTTCAAAAGACAAACATACATATTATAACTCGTTAGAAACAAATTTATCACAAAAACATAACCCTCTATCTGAGGCACTACATACATACATACGCACATACATACATACGCACATACATACATACATATACAAACTATAGTATATAAATGTGCAGCTTTTTGTTTTCCAAATTTCCCATTACGATTTGGATGGTAACACCTACCTACTTTAACCTTCCCATTAAAATAGCGGCATACCCTTTTTACTGAAAAGGAGGCATTCCATCTTAGTCCTCAGGGGTGACGATGTATCCACTTACCATCAGGTGGACTGTGTGCTCAAGTACAAGTGTTTTTCAGATAGACCTTCAATACTAGTGCCTAAATACCTTGTGTGTAAGACAGTGTTTTTGTGTAGTTTACTGTGAAGTGTGATATGACTCAAAGCAACCAAACACACACAGGGGCACGTTGCAGGCTTTGCAAAAGCTTGATGTTCGCTTTTTGCAAACTGAACAACTACGCCTCTGGTGCTCGTTCCGTGTTGTTCCCGGGAGCAGATCGTATTGCCCCGGAAAATGCCAGGTGTTCGGCAGTGCACGGGTAGGTGCTGGTGGTGTGTGTGCTGCCAACAATTCCCTCACCAAAGTTTGGCGAAAATTTCGGTGAGAAATTGAGCGGTGTGCCTTGTGGAGTATGTAGGCATTTAGAACACTAGCATTCAAGAGCTTCCTGAAAAACTTTTTGTACCAGATTTTGTTCCGCCTTCTTTCAATGGGGTACATGGCGAGCATCTGGTCTTTGCGATCAACCCCCCCCATACAGACATTATAGTCTGGTATGACGGTGGGCTTGTGTGTATCGCCGCACATCGCGGTTGCTAGCCCATGGTATGTCGAGACAAATGCCACACGGTTTTTGTCCCGGTATACGATGAGGTCCACATCCCCCGAAGTGCAACCGTTCACCTGACCTATCGCCATGTCTTTTTTCGTAAGATTCGTCAGCTCAATGGGAACAAACTGACGATTCGTTCGTAAGGTCCCCACGCAGTCAAACCCCCGAACTTTCAATTCTCGCGCAAGCGCGGGAGAATTGTAGAAATTATCCATCCAAATCGTGTGGCCCTTATGCTCAAGACCATTTAAAAGTCTGAGCACAAGAGCTGGCACTTTCCCAGAAACTGGACTGTCCTCTTGTGGGTCTGAGGAGGTATCATGGCCTGCGTGGACTTCAAAGCGCCACAAGTAACCAGTCTGGGACTCACACACCTCGTATGTTTTAATTCCTACTGTAGCTGCTTTGTTGCGGATGAATTGGTTAATATCTAACCAACCCTTCCACATGGTCAGACTTTCATCCACAGACACGTTTTGACCCAAAACATATAATTGTTGGAATTTGTTGTTAAGGTGATCCAAAATTGGCTGCACCTTAAACAACTTGGCCTGAGCCCGTGTCATCAGTTCAGGATCGCAACCGTCATTATCCTGAAAGTGGAGACATTTGCTCAACAGCATGAAGCGGTCATACGTCATCGCCGCAGTGAACCCGGGGGTACTGAAAATGTCCAGCGTGCTGTTCCAGTACTCCTCGAGACGTGATTTCACCACAATCCCGGTAGCGAGGATTATAGCGAAATACACGTGCAATTCACTTACGTCGGTGTCTTTCCATTTGGTGATGCGGCTGCTCGGACAGAGCGAACCGTCCACCAGCATGACCGTTGCAAGCTGTTGTGCATATCGATTCGTCTCCATGGCAATGTGTTCCATTATATCGCGATCCCATATGGCAGTAAATGCGTCATATGGGCTCGCATATGGAACCGTGGGCCCACAGTTTATCTGGGAGAACGGTTCCCTCCTCAGCTCAGGAGGAGTTTGAGGTTGCGGGAACCCCCTCCATTTAAAATCAAATTTATTTCCTGGCTCCGACATGGGACAGGATGGGGACGAGGGAGTATGGGTAGGTAAGGAAGGCGGAACAGAATAATCAGGAACATGGGATGTGGAAGGAATGGGACCGGAAGAGTTAGGGACAGGTGGGTGATCATTGGATGTCGGAGGCCAGGAAAAAGAAATAAATGCGTCTACTTCCCCACCTTCACCCTCATCCTCCGATGCCGCGAACATTTGTACCACCCTGGGGACTATGGTGGATTGGAGTCCAATTTCTTCTTCGCCATCTTCTTCGGAGTCCTCGTCGCTGCCTGTAAAATATAAGATAAAATAACCACATTGGCCGACTGTAATAAATTACGTTTTTTTTAAAATAATCTGTTACATAAGTAGTAACTTAATACAGTCAATTATTCTAAAAATAATTGACTGTATTAAGTTACTACTTATGTAACAGAATCAGTAACATGAGAGCTGATGTTTATAGAACACAGTACGGGTTTTATTTGTATTTTTATTAGCAGCTAAAGCAAAACTATTTTCCCTTACCATAATTAAGGGCGTTGGATATTTCAATATCCCTTAGAGGACGCGACGAAGATGACGAGGAAGTAATTCTAAAAGAAGAAAATAAATTATTAAGAATCAAAATATTAAGTAGACACTTCTGCACATAGAATATATATTTATTAATAGGCACTCACAGACGCCGTTTAGCCCCCATGTCATTGTGGTCCGATCTGAAAAAATAATGTTGTTTTTTGATTTCTATCGTAATAGTTATATTCGAACAGTTAACAGTTCAAAGTCAAATACTATCAATATTTAATAAAGCAATAAAGGAAAAACTTACGCATTTCGCTTTCGGGACGTTGGAGTCCGATTAGGTGTGGAGGTTCCACTCCCTCCAACTTCAACGTGTCTGTAAAACATAAATAGTGTTAAAAATACGTTATTTTATGACCAGTTACGAAAAGTTTAGCTTCAAAATATGAATATAAGTAAAAACTTACAAAGCAGGTGAAGGAACTGAGCAAAGCTCCATATCAACTACTGCTGGTTGGGCCGCTGCAGCTCGGTCCTCCTGAGGGCTCAGCGGCTGGGTCGGGTGGTTGCCGGTGAGGAGGTCCATGGACGACCACAACGACACCGGCACGGGACTAAAAAGAAAGTTAAATTCAATGCCCTGCACGTGAATCGAGTAACAAAACCAACTTCGAAGTGCTTACCCTCGCCTTGCGGCAGGCAGTACTCGAGGTCGCCGCTGAGTCAGCGGCCGCTCTAGAGGCCTCCCCACCGGCAACTCCCCCACCATGCCACAGTAAACTCTAAAATATTAATGCAGAATATTAATGTTGCTAAAAAAAAACGAAGAAACTTGTTAGTTGTTAAATTTGTTATTACGGATCAACAGCAGAAGGCCTTTCGGTGTGGCCAGCACCGCTAGTGGGCCCACCACGCGTCCGCGCACCACCAGTGTGCGCATGCGCCCCTTCACCACCAGTGTGCGCATGCGCCCCTTCACCACCAGTGTGCGCATGCGCCCCTTCACCACCAGTGTGCGCATGCGCCCCTTCACCACCAGTGTGCGCACCACGCCCACGCCCACGGCCACGAGCACGACCACGTCCACCTCTTTAAAGAAAAAAGCAAAAACAAAAAGCATGCAAACCAAAGAGAAAATAAACACAAAAATGCAAGAGATACGCGAGACATGAATGCAAAAGGTGCCCTTAGAGCTAATTTAGTAATGTCCATGCGTAACTTTTTTAACTTACTATAAGACGTCTAGAAAATATGTAAATATTATTTTTGGAGAAATTTTTTGAAAAAAAAATTGGTTGTCAAAGTTAAAAATAAAATTATTTATTTTTAAATTTATCATCGTGCAACAAACACTTTTTGTCCCAAACAATTTTGGGCTTGGACGCTCTTCAAATGCCTTTATCTCGGCCCAGGTTCGTCTAAGTCCAAAATTGTTCAGGAAAAAATTGTTTGTTTGGGTGCCCCCCCGACACGACGCAAACGAAGAAAAAAGAAAAAAGAAACAAAAATGCTGTATTTTTATCTTGGTACCTACTTGGTACTTCAAATACCTAAATATCTTTGCTCAGGTTCATCCAAGCCCAAAACTTTTTACGACAAAAAGTGTTAGTATATGCGCCCTCTACATGATGCAAACATAAAAAATAAAAAATTACAAAAATTCTGCTAAGTTTTTTCGCTCCCATATTTTATATTTATTTATTTTATTTATTTAATATTCTTTATTGCACACCATACAAAGCATACAGAAATGACATACTACAAAAAAGTATGCAACTTCCACTATATCTCCACAGTAACTAAATGTTTATGCAATTAAAAGTGATGTAACATTACATGCAAAATATTTAAAAATAACTTCAAACAGAAAATACAAAAGCGTATCTATAATTTCTAGCATGCCCGACATGCCGCCGTTATGACGTCATCAACTGCCAAAACCCTGTCTGTGCCCCTGCCGACTGACGGCAAAGAAATAACCTTCACGTATTTAGACCCAAAATTAAAGTTTTCAAAGCTAAATACACGTTTACCATTGTCATCCATTGCAAATTAATTACATTAGTAGCTTAAATTCTCCAAAACATTACGGTTTTATTCACTTTTTAGACCAAATATTGCAGAAATAAAAGTACGTTCATAGTTCGTTAGACGGCTATGTCGTTGGTTTGGCCTGGTTTTTACAATTAAATTAGCAAAATTATATGTTTCCCAGTAATAAAAATGTGAAAGTACTTACCTTTCCATGGTTTCTCCTTCAAATCACAACAAATTTGATTCAAGAAAACTTATCAAAGGCGTGACAAAACCGGAGTCGGTTGGTTTGACAGCGTCCAATTTGAAGTGCCGATATTTTTTTTTTACGGAGCAAAGAGTAACAGTAAAGCAGTTTGACACTGAGTATATATTATTAGTCTATGATTTCAAGTGTCGCACCTAAAAAACGCATCGTAATTCCGTCGTAAAGAGCGCGAAAACATAAACAGGAAACGATGCCGACTGCTGGTCGGCTCACAGACGCGCAAATAATTTGACGTGCCGACTGCTGGTCGACGCACAGACAAGGGGAAACCTCCACCGGAGATTCTTAGCACCCCGTGCCCCGCCGTTACCATGGTCGCCACCGTAGCCAGGAATAGCGGGGCCGCCGGGGCTGGGGGCCGTCTCTTCGTTACTTTCATGGGGGGTATATTGCCATACTTGCCACGCTTGGCGAGCGGGTTGGCAACCGCAGTTTTTTTATTGTTGTTCTGCTGTTATCAGAAAGATGCTGCTGCCCATCCTCTGCCTCAGTTTCCCTCTGTCGCCTTTTACGACATCCACGGGAAGATATGGGGTAGTGAGTATTCTTAACCGCCACTACACGGAGGTTAATACAAACAGTAGATAATACAAACAGCATTATACGAAGTAACAAATAAATAATAATGATTGAATACTTACGTTGAAAGTACCCTGGAGTGCTGGTGTACTCCACAAGCAGCGTGTCGTGTCCACTCGCTAGCAGGACCGCCGTCCGACTGAGGTATCTGCGCATCCCCTCGCCAGATATTGCTACAGTCAATATAAATTTGACCTTATCTTTCAGAGTATAGATGAAAGGCTCAAAGAGCGCAACGACCTTTTATGTGAACAAATTCAATTGCTTCGTGCACAGAATTCTTACCTAGGCCATACAAAGAAACTCAAAAGGATGAAAAGGTAGTCATACAAATTTTAGTTGAAGTATGTATTTACTAATCCTTGTCTTTTTTGTCGGTCAATCGTCAACAACTTCGTTTGATCAACACACAGAGGATTGCTCTCTTCACTTGTTGCATCTAAGTGTCGCCGCACACGGGCCACCGGCCACAGCCACAAATGCCGCCACGAGAAGCTAGAAGCGGCCGCAAAGGTAGCTGAAGCTCGCTACAGCCACTTGTGGCCGGTGGTCGCCACTTGCGGTCGTTGGCTGCTACTTTTTTTAACCCACTCATGCAGTATCATATATAATGGACTCGGACGAAGAAGGTTTAATTGCGCTACTTTTGATAAAAAGACGTCGTCGTAGAAGACGAAACCGTAGTTATTGGATACATCCAATTTTAACGAATGTACACAAATGCAACGAACATTTCGATAATCTTCTAAAACCATCCAAAAAAGTTTTTCAAACATTTTCGTTTAAGTATAGGTACGTTTTGGGAACTACATGCTCTATTATATGCTGGATTAAAGCACCACGACACCAACATGCGGAAAAGCATCGCACCTGCGGAAAGACTAGCTATCACATTAAGGTAAGTGGAAATAATCACTAGCATAAAACTCCACAGAACACTATAATAAAATAATCTATACTTTATTTATAATCACTACTTATAATGTTATTATAACTGCGTATTAAAATCTAGGCCTGTTTGTCTGTCTGTCTGTTACACACCTATACCGCGCGCTGATCCGATTTTAATAAAGGATTTCTGATAGTTCACCCATGGGGCACAATTGCATTGTTTATTCTACTAGAGAATAGCTAGTTAACAAATAAAACACTTCTTTTTCGTCTTTGTATTTATTTATTGTGTGTTTATTATAATTTGTTATCACTCGTCATCATCACGGAACATGTCTTCGAAAACAGAACTGTTGTCCATAGACTGGTCAGAATAATATGAATGAGTTGGAGAAGGCTGAATTATAGGTGAAGACGGGATAGATGTAGAAGCGTTTTGTGTAGAGTATGAAATGTCAAGCACAGACTTGTCGGAATGAAGTGGAGAAGGCTGGGCAGATGTGGAAGCTTTTTGTGTAGAGTGTATGTTGGCATTTCCTGAAGAATAACCACTGTGTGTACTTTCTAATTAACTGTAATATTTCTGATTGAAAATCAAGTATACAATTTTCGTCATTTTTTTTTACATGTGGAAGCAGCGACATCAGAAATTGCTTATCGGGGTCATTTTGGTCGCTGATTTGATCATGTTTACGTTTTAAATTTTCCGAAAGTGTTCTGAGAATTTCATTTTCTGATTTTTCGGCCCTTTTTATATTAATGTTTCTGTTTATTTTCGGGCGAGGTGTTTCCGCATCATTAGTTGCACACTCGGAAGTAACATCGGTAGGCGGTCTCACTTCTTTTAAGTCATTCAAGAAAGATAGATGATTGAAATAAATGTACTGTTTACTGCTTGTTGCTGCCGAACCACTCGCAACGTTCTTGTTTTTTGCATTTTCTCTATTAAAACTGTCACGCAGACTCTTCCACTTCCTCTGTAATTTAGTCACTGTAACAACAAAAAAATATAATATACTTCATTGTTTCAGGTATCTAGGAACTGGATGCTCGTTTGAGGATTTTGAACTCTCTTATCACCGTGGGGCCTCTACAGCAAGGAAAATAGTACAAGAAACATGTCAACTAATTTGGAACTATTTAAAAGCCGTTTGTATTCCAGAACCGACCCAATACATATGGAATGAAATTGCCAGCGGATTTCTTCAAAATACTAATTTTTCTAATTGTTTAGGCGCCATAGATGGGAAACATATAAGAATTATTCATCCATTCGATACCGGCTCCTTGTACTTTAACTATAAAAAAATTTTTTCATTAGTACTTCTAGCAACATGCGACTCGAATTTACTTTTTACGTTCGTGGATGTTGGGGCATACGGTAAAGCATCCGATTCTACAATATTTAGAGAAAGTGAACTGTGTAATAAAATACACAGAAATACATTAAATATCCCCTCACTACGATAGGTCGGTAATCGACAACCATTGAACTATACATTTGTTGGTGATGAAGCATTTGGCCTCAGTGAAAATATGATGAGGCCATATGCTGGAAAATATTTGGACTTAGACAAAAAAGTTTTCAATTATAGGTTAAGCCGTGCCAGACGTTGCATTGAGTGTACCTTCGGCGTCATCATCATCATCATTACAGCCCTTCACAAGTCCACTGCTGAACATAGGCCTCCCCCAAAGAATGCCACAAAGCACGGTCCCGAGCCACCTGCATCCATCGACTTCCTGCAAATCTTACCAGGTCGTCACTCCATCTAGTGGGGGGACGCCCTACACTTCGCCTGCCGGTACGAGGCTGCCACTCGAGAACCTTTCTTCCCCATCGGTTGTCGGTTCTTCGAGCTATATGGCCGGCCCATTGCCACTTCAGCTTACTAATCCGTTGGGCTATGTCGGTCACTCTGGTTCTACTGCGGATATCCTCATTTCTGAGTTTATCACGCAGAGAAACTCCGAGCATAGCCCTCTCCATAGCTCGCTGAGCGACCTTGAGCTTCCTCATCCGGCCAGCAGTGAAGGACCACGTCTCAGTTCCGTATGTCATCACTGGCAACACGCACTGGGTGTACAGTCTCGTTTTCAAGTTTTGAGGTATACCTGACGAGAAGATGTGCCGTAATTTCCCGAACGCTGCCCAACCGAGTTGAATCCGTCGATTGACCTCTCGGTCGAAGTTGGACTTACCTAGTCGGACTATTTGTCCCAGGTAAACATACTCATCAACAACTTCGAGCTTAGTGTTCCCAACAACTACCGGCATAGGTGTGACATGGACATTAAACATGATCTTTGTTTTGTCCATGTTCATCTTAAGACCTATCCGTTGGGAAACACTATTGAGGTCATTGAGCATAGTGCTTAGGTCCTCCAGCAATTCTGCCATAAGGACTATATCGTCGGCAAATCGAAGGTGAGTGATGTACTCGCCATTGATGTTGATACCGTATCCTTTCCAGTCCAGAAGCTTGAAAACATCTTCCAATGCAGCGGTGAAGAGTTTCGGGGATATGACGTCACCCTGTCTTACACCTCTCTGCAATTGGATAGGTTTCGTCTTCTGGTTCTGTACTCGGATAGCCATCGTAGCCCTACTGTACAAGCACTTCAACACTTCGATATACCGACAGTCAACTTGGCATCGCTGAAGGGACTGCAGCACCGCCCAAATTTCGACGGAATCAAAGGCTTTCTCATAGTTCACATACGCCAGACATAGTGGCAAATTGTACTCCTCGGACTTCTGTACAATTTGCCGAAGGGTATGTATGTGGTCTATGGTGCTAAAGCCTTTTCGGAAACCGGCTTGTTCGGGAGGCTGGAAGTCGTCAAGTCTGCGCGCGAGACGATTCGTAATGACTCTCGAAAACAGCACGTAGACGCGGCTCAGAAGGGAAATCGGTCTGTAGTTCTTCAAGAGAGCGTTGTCGCCTTTCTTGAAGAACAAGACCACCGCACTTCTGCTCCACGCCTCCGGTGTAATGCCACCATGGAGGACGGAATTAAAGAGCTTCTGAAGGACTTCAAGTACCGGTTTTCCACCCGCTTTCAGAAGCTCCGCTGTAATTCCATCCTGGCCTGGGGCCTTGCCGTTTTTAAGGTGCTGGAGAGCCATTCTAATCTCGCTCAGACTGACGTCCGGGATATCATCGGAATAATGTCGGATAAGACTCGCTCTTGGATCGTTACTCACACTTGCGTGTGGCTCCAACGATGACGTGTACAGCTGCCCATAGAACCTCTCAATCTCACTCAAAATCTCAGGTGCCCCGGAAACGATGCTGCCACATTCGGTCTTCAGCTTTGACAGTTGGCTCTTTCTGGCAGACAGATCTCTGGCAAAGACTTTGGAGCCTTGGTTCCGCTCGATTGCTTCTTCAATACGAGCTGTATTGAAGTTGCGTAAGTCCCGCCGCATGCATTTGGAGATCTGTCTGTTCAGTTGCCTGTATGCTGTCAAATCTGTTGAAGAATGTAGCTTCATCTCCCGTCTAACAGCCATGAGATTAAGAGTGTGATCGGAGAGTTTTTGTGTTCTTCTGCGGCGGGTCTTGCAGAACTTAGCTCCGACCGCATGGACAGTTTCCACGAGCTTGTCATTCAAATCGTCCACTTCATTGCAGTCTTCTAGGCACTGAAAACGGTTTTGCAACTCGAGCTGAAAGGTTTCGGGACTTTGGATTAGAGCACGAGGGGGACGGAGCGTTGACTTCATTAGACGAGACCTCTCCAACTTAACGTTTAGGTTCAGTGTGCCTCTAACCATTCGGTGATCGCTGCCGGTTTTCACCCTCGCGATCACTGAGACATCACTGAACAGTTGTCGTCTGGTCGTCATAATGAAGTCAATCTCATTTTTTGTCGAACCGTCGGGGCTCGACCAGGTCCACTTCCTGTGGGGCCGCTTCTGGAAGAAAGAGTTCATCATAAAGAGTCCCTCTTTCTCCATGAAGTCGGCCAACTGCTGGCCCCTTGGGTTCCGTTGCCCTATTCCAAATTTCCCCACTTTCAGCTCACCGTTCTCTCTTGTGCCTAGTTTTGCATTGAAGTCTCCCATTAACACCCTATATTGGGTTTTGGAGGAATGCATGGCTCTAGAGATATCCTCATACATTTCCTCCACCTCCTGATCGGGGTGTGCCGAGGTTGGTGCGTAAACCTGTATGACCTTCAGCGAATACCGTTTGGTGATTCTGAGTATAAGGTACGCAACCCTCGTCGACACACTCTCAATCTTTACAACGTTGTTAACGAGAGACTTGTGGACGATAAATCCGACACCTCCTTGGGACAGATGGTCGCCCTCCCGGTGATAGAGCAAGTTGCCGGATTCGAGGATTACCGTGTCCTCCCCCTCTCTTCGGACTTCGGATAATCCTATAATATGCCAGCGTAACTTGTCTATCTCTTCTTCCAGCTCCACAATCTTCTCGTCAGTCCTCAGGGTGCGTGCGTTGTATGTTGCCAGGTCGAGTCGTTGTACGTGGCAACCGAACCTCCACCGGAGATTCTTAGCACCCCCTGCCCCGCCGTTACCATGGTCGCCACCGTAGCCAGGAATAGCGGGGCCGCCGGGGACTGGGGGCCGTCTCTTCGTAACTTTCATTATGGGGGGGTATATTGCCATAGTTGCCACGCTTGGCGAGCGGGTTGGCAACCGCAGTTTTTTATTGTATTTTGTCGTTACCAGGAAGATGCTGCTGCCCATCTCCTGCCTGTTTCCCTTTGTCGCCTTTTACGACACCCACGGGAAGATATGGGGTAGTGGATATTCTTAACCGCCACTACACGGCACTCTTAACCGCCACTACACGGCGTACTAGCAAACAAATGGACATTACATCGCCTATTAAACACTTCTGTTCATTTCTTAGAAGACATTGTGAAAGCTTGTTGCATTTTGCACAACTTTATTCGCAAAAGGGATGGTTTCAATTTTCGTCACACTTTGAAAATAGTGGGACTCGAAAATATACAAAATACAGGCTGGCCAGTAACACGAGCGTCTACTGCAAGAGATATGTTAAAAGATTATTTTATGAATGAAGGAGCAATACCGTGGCAAGAAAATAGAATATAAATATATGTTCGCGCCACTCGGGCGCGACAATTGATTCCCTGATTCGCTTTCTCTCTCTCACTCATTGATTCGGCGCGAGCGCTGTATCGCGTCAGTCGCAACCCCGGAAGCGAGTCACGCGCCGCCCTTGTTCGAAAAAAGGTGTAAGAAAGCGCGTCCGCGACCTTCAGCTCATCGGCTCGCATTAATTATGTATATATTGCCGGCCGGTATCTAATATATCTAAGTGATAATCATTACGAACAATTAAACATTAAAGTGAAAGTGACAGTGTATGATATAAGACTTTAGTTGCACGTGTATACATTCAACGGCATAACCAGCTCAGGAGCGTGCCAGCCACCCAGCACCATTCATTTATCATCCGCCCATCTGCATTCCAAGTAAGTGCACACCCTTACATTTCCTCTCCTATTTCGTTCAACCCGCACTTCAGCTCACCGTCGATGTGAGGCTTTCCCTCACAATATATGATTTTATATTATTTTATTAAACTTATCTTCAATGTTCTTTTCTTTGGCGGTTTTATTCGAAAAATTTCCTACAAACAGATTTCTTCCCAGGCCTTCACTTTTTCTCCTCTATTACTATAACTATCACTTTTTGAATCCCAAATCGCAGGACGGGATTGTATCTCTGATATAAATAATTCTACATCCATTTTTATCTATCTATATGAACCACAGAGTACGTGCGTGCGTTACCGTCGACTCTAACAGGTTTACTGAGGTAAGGGAGAGAGGGGCGCGGAATCGCGCGAGTGGCGTATGGCGCCGTTTTGTGTCGGCCTTTAGTGGCCGGTGCGGGCCACAAGAAGCAAGCTGCGACGATTTGTAGCGTGTGGCCGCCACCGGCGCCAACCGTGTGCGGCGAGTCCATATAAAATGTACGAAAATTACAGGAAATATGCCAGTGGCGGCGTTTTGTGGTTGTGGCCGGTGGCCCGTATGCGGCGACACTAAGTTGTCCATTGGTTGTTCCATTGGAATTCTGCAATATACAACTTAAATTAATAATGTTTATCAAAAGTAAACAAACATTCCAATAATAATTATCTGTGTGATGATATAATCTACATGTATTTACAAAACATATCTTAAGACGGCAATCATATAGATTCATTTTATCAATTGAAGAAAATTTGTTATACAAGTAAAATGCATTGCTAAAGCTCATTTGAAGCATGTGGACAAACAATTTTTTGTACCACCGTAACGTTTTTCTTTGACACGGATAATATGCCAGCATCTGATCTTGTAGATCTACGCCAGTCATAAAATTGTTTTAATGAACAATTGCCGATGGTTTTATTTTTACAGTACCTCTTTTTGATAGAACTTCTAATATCTCATCACCATGCTCAGTGGATATATAA